AGTTTGAGGTTGAGCGAGAGAGAGTGTGAGAATGCAAGGCAACACGTACCACATTCTGCCGGCAGCAGATGGTACAGGTTGTGGATCAGAAGGAATGCATTGGTGGTATTTTAAGCAATTTACTGCAGGGGTAGGTAGTTGAAGGGTACGGGTAGTGTATATATTGGTGGGGGTTTTAGCATCTGTCGTGCTGTGTTGGAGTGAATCGTACCAGCAGTGGGGTAGTAGGGGTGGTGTGGTGGTATAAGATTATTAAGGGTTTATTGTGGTAAAGGGTTGCTTAGAGGTGTGGGTTTATCTGTTAATCATGGCACTAGGGGGTGGGTAATATTCAGCATGATGGAGGGAGTTTCGTTTTGTGTAAGCGTTTACTGCAGATTTGTCTTGTGGCAAGATGTTCGGGGAGTAGGGCAGTGTCCCGTGTGCAGTTGTAGCAAAAAAGGGGTAGTAGGGGTGGTGCAGTAGTATAGGATTATTATGGGTTTTGGTGGTAAAGGGTTTCTTACAGGTGATGTGAGTTTTTCTGATTTTTTTTTTTTTTGTCTTTTTTTTATTCTTTTGTTCTGTAGTAGGTTGATGGCGTGTGTCTCCTTTCGGGTTGTGTTTCGACTGTGTGGCGGGTCAGAAATGCAGCGTTGTTGTAGGGACACTGGGCAATGTCTCTTATATTTTTTGTTTCGTTCTGGGTGATTTTAGTTTTGGCAGAGCCTTCTTGCCCAAAGTTGTTATTTTTCAATGCGTTGTTTTATTTGCAGACTTTTGTTCTGTAGTATGGTGATGACGCACGTCTTGATTCTGGGTAAGTTTTTGTTGTGTGGCGGGCTAGAAGTGCAGCATTGTTGTAGAAGCTATAGTTGCTGATTCATGTGGTCTGTTTTGTCTTTTCTGTTTCTTTTCGCGCGTTCTGTGTTACACGGGTGGTATTTTCACTCATGTAACAGGGTGTTCTTATTACTTTGGGGTGTGAGTCTGAGGAAGGTGGGTGGGCAGGTGTATTTTTCATGGTGGGCGTTTTTTCACTTTACTTGTATATCGTTGATTTTGAAATTGTGGCTGTTGTATCAGACATAGGTTTTGTTTTTTCTGTATTCGTTTTTTGGTTCATTTTTTAGTGCGTTTAGTCTATTGGTTTATGTGATTTGCGTTATTTCTTTACTGTGGCCATTACTTTTATAAGGGATGTGAGTTAGGGGATTATAGGTAGGTATATCCATTGTGGTTTTGTTGGCTCTTGCTGGCTTACGAGTGATATGGTAATATAGGCGTTGCAATGGTGGTGTTGATTGGGGGGATATGTGTTATAATTATGTGTGCGTTTGTTAGTTGTGCCATTGGTTGGTATTTATAGTGTTTGTATATGAGAGTGTAAGTGTGTGTGTGTGTGTGTGTGTGTGTGTGTGTGTGCTGTCTCTTATACACATCTAGATGTGTATAAGAGACAGGTGTGTGTGTGTGTGTGTGTGTGTGCGAGAGAGAGAGAGAGAGAGAGAGAGAGAGAGAGAGAGAGAGAGAGGCGTAGAAGAAGGTGAGGAACATTGACCTTCCCCAACATTCTCCGCGGACGTCCAAGGCCGCGGCAGGTCGCAGTAGCTGAAGAATGCACTATAGCACTGGATAGCGGATGGCCATGGCGGCAGCAAGTCGGAGTAGCTGAAGAATAGCGGACGTCGCAGTAGCTGAAAAATGCACTACACGGTGGGTTGCAGTAGACCTTTTTTTTGTGCGGCGGCCTGGAAAAGTCTGGGGTTTGAATTCAATTTTTTTGCGCCACCTTGCTGGAGGCATCTCAGGAGGATGCATCCCCCAAAGAAGGGAAAATTGGACCGCATGGGAAATAGGACCGCCTGTTAGGTAGGGGCATTTCGGAAAGTTATGTCCATCACTGACAGGGGCCTGCATGAAAATTTAGAGGCCCAGGGGCAAAGCAGGGTTACTTGGGTGAGCCGTCGTAGGGGCAAATCACAACTGAAGGCAAACTTCAGGGGCATTTTGAATATTTTCCCTTCTTTTTTTGTAAAGCACCAAAAATTCATTAGGTTGCCCATCAGTTGAGGCCGAGGACCTTTTTTTTTTTTCCATCTTCCACGACACTTTATTCAGTATCATTTTGCACATTTGAAGAGTAATGGAGCGCGACACTTTATTTGCCTGGCTCCTCTACTCTTCAAATGTGCAAAATGAGACTGAGTACTCCGCCACAACATGAAAAAAAACATTAGTGGTGGGGGCCCTACCTCCTGTGCGAGGCCCAACGGATGCTTCCTCCAAGCCTGCCGTGAGTGACGGGCCTCTGACAAGGAATCGGATCTTTCAGCTACACTACAGTTACGGCCTGATGAAACTCTTTAATTTTTTTTTTTTTTTTGTATGGCTAGTTCTTTTAGCCCAGCCAATTCAATTACCTGCCGAATCAGGACAGGATAGCCTTTCAGGCCCACCGCTTTGTTTGACATCTTGTACGCCAAACAACTGCAAGTGCGACCAGAAACATTTACATTGTAGCCTGGCGTTATGTTGGCGTAAAAAAATAAATTAAAAAAATGAATTTTTTGTTTGATCCTCGCCCATGTCACCAGGCGCACTTGCCCTAAGTGCAAAGTATCAAGATCGCGACTTCGTCCGTTCCAGACGAAGTCCGTCCGTGTGACCACACGGGGATCAAATGCCCAAAAAACCCGAACCAAATGCCTAAAATTTTTTAGACTTTTGGTCCCGTGTGAGTATGCCCTCAGTCTCATTTGCACATTTGGAGAGTAGTCGAGCAAGGCAATTCATTTGCCCTGCCTCCACTACTCTCCAAATGTGAAAAAATGAGACTGAATCCTCTGCTACAACATGGAAAAAAAACATTCCTAGTGGGGAAGTGTGGAGCGAGGCCCAAAAGATGCTTCCTCCAGGCCTGCCGTGAGTGGCGGGTATGCCTCTGACAAGGAATCGGATCCTTCAGTTACACTACTGTTGCGGCCAATGAACTTTTTCTTGGTTTTGCTTTCTTATGTCAATGTTTTTTTTTTCGGATTAATTTGTGTGTATTTCAAGAAAAGGATATGGGGAGCCGAGGTCCGGACAATTTAACCCGGTATAACCTCTGGAAGCATTAGCCAGTTCCGACTCTCATCAGTGCAAGGGTAATAAACGTATCAATCTACTGGTACAACTACTAACTGAAGATCAAAAGCCTAATGAACACATCTCTCGTACTAAGTTCCGACTCCCATCAGTGCAAGGGTGATAAACGTATCACTCTCGTAGTCTACTAATGAGTGAAGTCACGTAAGGAGAGGGTGAGGGGGAAATAGTGGACTGAGAAGAGGAAGAATAACTCTCTCTCTCTCTCTCTCTCTCTCTCTCTCTCTCTCTCTCTCTCTCTCTCTCTATCTCTCTCTCTCTCTCTCTCTCTCTTCCGTGAAGGTCCTTGTAATTCTAGCCCCTCTTATTTAAAAAGTAGGTACTTACTTTTGCCAACCTTAGTGATGACTTGAGCAACATTTCTATCATGATAGCATCAATAGAGAATCGTTCACCGAACTATGAAATGTTGCTTTTAACCAGTGCCGGACCCGTGAACGTGACCGGCACCGGTCACTTGAACGTGACCGACCGTTCATTCGGTGTTTTTTTTGTGAACGGTTGTTCATAGTGAACGGGCCGACCACTAAAAAGCGGCGTTTTTTTTTTTTTTTTTTTTGGTTCCCCCAGGTACATTCGCCTTAAGCCCCATACCGTGGTGACATTGAAAAAAAAAAAAAAATCGACATGACCTACAAAATAGCAAAAGAAATTGTTTATTTTGGCTGGTTGATTTTTGTTTTCTCGTTTTCAATTAAAAAAAAAAATTATTCGTGAAAATTATTTTTTGAAAAAATTATAGGGAGTTACCCTTCGATGTCCCCCACCCTCCTATAAGAAAAAACATACCCCCCCCCGCCAAAAAAAAATATAAAAAAAAAATACCGCTCTCCGTGAACTCCATGAACTCCCGTGTCGTGAACTCCGAGAACTCTATGACCGGCTCCGTTCACAGTCCCCGTGAATGGTGAACGGAGGTACGACACTGCTTTTAACACTAACGTTAATTTGAACGTTGCTCTAATATGGCAAACGTTGCTCCAACCTAAAAATTAGCAGAGATTTTTTCTATTGTTGCTCTTTCAACCACCGTATCGTTGCCAAGCTCCAGTAGAATCGAATTTGTCTCGCCACTTGTGGAAGTAGAGTTGATTTTCGCTCATACGCTTAGTCGGCGGGTTCAGTTTGATAAATACTTAAGTACCTCCTTCCTCGAACATCAGGTTTTTGAGCTTCCGAGTTTTACCTCCTCCGTTCATGAGTGTCCTTCTCCTCCTCGCATTCATTTTTCATCCTATCAGTAAGGCTTAAAAGAGTATAAGGAAACGTTTTGTAGGAAATTCGTCGCATGATAAGCTTGTACGGATCCATAAGGAGCATAGTTCACCCTTCGCACCACCATAAAGATCAAACGTAATGAGACAATCAATTACGCCAAGTAAGCTGCCGAAGTTAAAGCTGCAGCCGCAACACCGACAACGAAAAGTACGAGCATATGCTGGCACAAGGATGATCAGCAAGAGAAAAGGGAGACACAAGCCTAAATACCAGCCTCGCACCCTTATCCCAAGTTGAAATCCTGTGACCCAATTTCCAGTCTTGACCGAATCATTGTCGTCAATAACGAATTCCTGCACGTGAAATCCTTCCTCGAGTTCTGACAGTTCCTTAAATTCTCTTGACGTGCTTCTGAGATGGTCAGCATCATAGTCTAAAAAACCCCATCTAATTCTCCTTCAACACTCACCAACGTGCATTGATCCATTATCATAATGAGATCTCCAATATCCTTCATAGTTACCAGATTTTGGCTCGCAGCTGTCTTAAAACTATTCCCAACATCGTTTTCGGATGTGTTGATGGTCTTAAACAGTTGGGCAAGATCATTGTTGATGTCTGACTCAACGGTCGTCGGTCTCAGATAGTTGAGCAAGTTCATAGCTGACGTCCGACTCGACGGTCTCAGACAGTTAAGCAAGCTCATAGTCGACATCCGGCTCAACGGTCTCAAACATTTGAGCAAACTCGTAGTTGTCACCCGACTCATACATGACTTCAAATATTTGCGAAATTTCGGCGCCTACAATACCGTTGAGGAAACATTTCTCATCTTGATCCTCTATCAACTTGTCTTGGGTATCTTTAGTATCTTTCAAGGCTTCGCGTTCTTCATCTATCGTTGTCATTCTCATCGTCATAGTTCGATCTACCAATGTCTTCGAAATAGCCATCGGTTCTTCACTCTTCGGTGCGACATCAATGTCAAGGCTAGTATCATCGGTCCTATCTTTACTCGATTGTCCACCCACTTCCTTAGCACACATTGAAGTTGTATAGGGATCTTCTTTACTACACTCGAATTGAACGCTTGAAACCCCAATCGTCAAATTATCATTTGCATCTAGATCCTCCTCAAACCGAACACTCGATACCCAGAATTCTCCTTGTCCTGCCTCTTCTGTTGTTCTCGTTTTAATGCCAATATTGATCTCCGTAGAAGTTCGATAGAGTATATCTTCCTCCTCATTTTCATTTGCATACCGGTTCTCCTCAAACCTGATACTCGACACCCAAATTTCTCCCTGAATTTCCTGAATCACCTCCTGCGTTGTTTCTGTTGTAATGTCAGTATTCATCTTCGTAGAAGGTCTGCATGATATATCTTTCTCATCATCAGCACATTTGATCTTTCTCCACTCATTCAGCTCGACGGTTTTCTCAGGACCTTTTTGTCGTCTGTCCTTAGACTCTTGTTGTAAAAGAATCTTCAACGATTCCGCGCTCCTTCGAGGTGAAACATTATTCATTCTCTCCATCCTTTCTAGTTCAACCCTTAAGGCCTTAATCTCCTCTAGCGCCTCCCGTTCTTTCTCATTTAGTCTTCTTCGATCTTCCTCTTCTCCTCCACATCTCCAACACCGATCTCGAGCGTCTCCCCACTTACCGCCATTCTTCTTCCAGTCACCGCGGTTTTCTTCTTTCCATTCTACACTATCTCTACCTTCTTTACTTTTGTTAGGTGACCTGAACTCTCTTCCACCCTCATCACCGAATTGTTTTTCTAAATGATTTCTAGACACTCCTTTCCCCAATTTCTCCAATAAATCAAGTATATAAGATATGACATCTGGTCCCTCAGTCTGCAAAGCCAATGCCTTTATCTGAGCGAACGACAACCTTTTAGTGGACATGTTCCTCATAACAAACTTTCGTTTCTCGATGGGTAGAGTTCCTATAAAAATAGCACATCGGTCTAACTCACTGATAAACCCTCTTTCCATCAAGAGTTCAGACGCCTTCTCAAAACGTCTTGCAAATGTCACGAACGTCTCTCTTTCCTCTCTCTTCATCTCCTTTAAGTCCTCGACTGAGCACACGATCTCGTCGCAAGCAAAATCCCAAGACAATCGTTCTCTGAAAGTTCTCCACATCCCATCTTCGGGTATAGCGGCACACACATCTTTGTCTAGTTTTAGATCCGTGTGATTAATGAATCCAAATATTGCTTCCCTCTCAATCAATCATGCTCTCAAGGCATAAACTTCCTAGTCATTCAGGAATTATGTTACCCGATGTCCAGTGAAACATAGAAGTTGGCCGAAGTATGGTAATAGGTAGGTCAAGGGTCCGCACAATTGACTGTACCCCATAGCTTACGGACTTGGTCCGCACGGTAGCTCATATCGTTCTTCTTGCCGAGTCTCTCCTCCATGGATTCCCACACACGGTTGTCCTTCAGTAGATCTTATGTCTCTATCCCTCCCGGTTGCCAACTTGCCGCCTTCATATGAGGTGGTCTGCCTTCATACTCACTATTTCACCTTTCTCCTACCCCTATCGTCATCCTTTCTCCTCCATCAGAACTTTCCACCCCCATCTTACTCACATGAATATTACGTTCACTCCTATTTCCAAAAGATAAGACTTAGTTCTCTCCACAACTTTTCAGTGTTTCTTCTCCAACCCTCCATCGATCCAACTAATCAACGAAAAAATGGAAGTTCACTTCCTCAGACACTGTGCAGCCCAACCCGACTGATGAGCTCATAGATCCCCACAACAGACCTCCACTGGACTCACCTATATCCCAGACGACGTCAAAAGGCCTAGAAGAGAACTGCCCTCTCGCGTATCTCCTCCTACCCTCATGTCGAAAGAGAGGTTGATCCCTTGTCGCCATCATCGTTGACCTACCGATCCCGAGAGCAATCCCTTGACGCGAGCCGACCAACTCGTGCGTCATAGGGTCGGACCAAAGTCACACGCTCACGAAACGGTGGTATCTCCCTCGTGCAATCCTATCCGGCACCATGTCTCTACTCGGCCCACCTCAGACATGGATTTACCCGGGACGTTTTCCCCGACACTGTGTATTGTCCGAATCAGACCTCCCGCTAACAAGCGAATCAGCTAGCCTATCTATTCCCCCCAACTCCTTGCGATCCGGGGCGCTTCTCCCCTCTCATTCAATCCCTCCGATACATCCCCTGCTCACAATTTTCACTCAAAGAGATCGGATTCAGGTGGACTAACAAAAGGTAGGGAAATCAGAAGACAATCTCTCTCCAATCACAAAAGCATGCCAGAGGAAATCCATGTAGAAAACAAAAATGCTGAAAAAACAATACTCGAAATATCTCACCGGGTTGTCGAGATGGGTTGAATTGCCAATCACTGACGCACTCTCGCCTTAACGCACCCTGGCATTTCCAAGAGAAACAATGCCGAGGTCAGTAATGGAGTTGAACACCTCGAACACCAAAGCCCTCCTCGTCTCTGCGGTTACAGGCGGACTGAAGTCCCGAGAGGCAGCCTTCCCCGGCAACGGCGCCACTGTCGAGAGGTGGAATGAACTTGCCGGCCTGCGGATCTAGCCCTATGTCCGCCCGCGACTGTCACCCGCGGGAGGGCTAGTTCCGGACTCCTGTAACCTGCAAAATCCACCACTGAGTTACAAACACAAGGTGCCAACTAGACGACGTGCAAGATTGCAGAAAGAACGTCAAAATCCTTTTATTCAGTTATTAACGATAGGCGCAGAAGCGCTACATCTTATCTTAGAGCAGCCTCCTTCACGCCAGTCCAAGGGTTTTGTTTGTGCTGAGACTGTTCGTGTCGGTGTTCTCCCCCGGATCCTGCGATCAATGGGATGCCGTCGATACCACTTCCGTCGGTCTCAACGGGTCGCATTAGAGCCCTCCTAGCTCGGAGTAGTGTCGTGGGCCCTCTGAGGCCCGATTCTTGATATGACTGAACGTGTCGGTATTCTTCGTTGGATCCCGCGTTCAATGGGGTGTCGTCGGTACCGCTCCCGTAGGTCCCAAGGGATCGTGCTAGAGCTCTCCGAGTCTGAAGCAGCACCACGGACCCATTGAGGCCCGTTTTCTAGATATGAGTTTGGGTTCCGATCTGAGGCCCATTCGGCCGTAGGAAAGGACGGTCCCGGTCTGCCCGTTTCGGTCTATTCTGATCTCGTCTGATCCCGGTCTGGTCTGATCCGGCCCGGTCTGGTCTGGCCCGGTCTGGCCTGGTCCGGGTCTGGTCTGATCTGGCCCAGTCTGGTCTGGTCTGATCACGTTTGATCCGGGTCTGGTCTGACCTGGCCCGATCTGGTCTGACCCTGTCTGATCTGGTCCGGTCTGATCTGGTCCGGTTTGATCAGGTCTGGGTCCCGCGACGAGCGCGCTCAGTTAGGTCCGTCTGCCGCCCCCACCAGCAAGCCCGATTGGCCGGCTCAGCTGGCCAAGCTCGCGTCTTCCCGCTAGTCCGCGCGATTCCGTTTCTTCTAAGCCCGTTTCCCTGGGCTGTGGTTTCGCACGATGGTAGGTAGGACAATCCGAATTTCATCAACCCATCCATGCGCGTCACTAATTAATCTACGAGGCAGTCGCCACCGACTGTGGTTTTGGAGGTAGATAGAAGGAGTGAGAATCCCGTTGATCCCTTAATGCGCGCTACTAGTTAGATGAAGTGGCACTTCCCTTCCTTTCCCGCTGATTTCTCCAAGCCCGTTTCCGTGACTGCGATTCCGCGGGATGGTAGATAGGGGTTGTGGAGCCTCGTTGAGTCTGTTCATGCGTGTCACTAATTAGAAGACGGGGCATTTGGCTACCTTAAGAGAGTCATAGACACTCCCTCCGTTTACCCATGCTTGGTATAATCTTTTCGCTTTGACATTCAGAGCATTAGGTAGAAATCACATTGCGCCGACATCTGTTGGGGCCACCTCAATGCTTTGGGCTCTCCCGCGCGACAACCGTTTTCTCCCAGCGCTAAAGCTCATTCGTTTCCGCGCGCAGCTCTCCCTCCCATCGCGCGATCTCTCTCTTTCAAGTTTGGCGAACGATCTCGTACCCGCTTATCCAGTGCCCGGGAGCTCCCATTCTCTCTCTCTCTCTCTCTCTCTCTCTCTCTCTCTCTCTCTCTCTCTCTCTCTCTCTCTCTCTCTCTCTCTCTCTCTCTTTTACTCTCTCTCTCTCTCTCTTTTACTCTCGCGCGCGCGCGAGCGCTCTTGCGCTCTCTCGGACGCAGATCAGTGCCCCCCCTTGTCTAGCTCACGACTCTCCTTCACCCGAGGGTAGCCGGGATCGATCAGGTCCGCTCATCCCGTCCGTGCGCGGCTCCCCGAGTCCGCGACCACTCGCAGCCCGTCCCCGCGCACGGCTTCTTCCCCGCTTACGTAGCTCAACCCACAGTTCCGCTCTCGTCACGCAGTTCGGCTCTTGCCTTGCGCCGCTTCTCACTCCTCGCGCGCGGCTCCCTTTCCATCACTCGTTTGCACCTACCAACTCCTCCAGTCTGCTACTCACTCATCTCTTCCCGCGCGCTCGTTCTCATGGGCTTAATCATGAATGAACCTGGTGCTCTTCGACAACCAGGTTCACTCGGGTGTTCTTTGTCCTTTCTTTTTCCCTCTCTCTCACTCCCGTCTATCTCTCTCGTTCTCTCGCTCCCTTCTCTTTATCCTTATCTCTATCTCTCTCTCTCTCACTTTTCTCCACGCACACCTGCTCTCTTTCTCTCTCCCTCGTTCTCAATCTCGCTCTCTCTCTCTCTCTCCATCCAGTTCTCGAATGTATGCATGGGGCGATCAAGGTCGGATACACTCACGACGAACGGGCTCCCTCTCTCTCTCTCTCTCTCTCTCTCTCTCTCTCTCTCTCTAGTTCATGAATCGAGCTCCCGGGCGTCGAGATGGGTTCGGGGTGGCTCAGACTGAAATGCTCTCAGTCGCCCGGGTAGGGCAGGTGCACGCAATAGGGAACCCACCGTTTCCTCCGTCTCACACTTTCCCTCTTCTCACTCGCGCTTTGGTTCAGCCCGTTTCTGTTCAGTCTCGCTACAGCCGTATGCACTGCGTCTGTGCTTGTACGCCCCTCGTCTGCTCAAGTATCTCCCTCTTCATCGAGTGTACGCCCCTCCTCATTCGTCACCGGGCTCACGGGAGTTCGGCCCTCCCCATTCGTCAACATGCTTGCGAGAGAGCGCACCGTCCCTTCGAGTGCTTGCCTGGACACGAACGCAGGCTGGGAAGTCGTCTCGGTTCGTGCTTGATTGGAGCGTGGCTCCAGTCCGTTCGTGGACACTGAGCTCGCCCTCTCCCCGAGCACGTGGTCCGGGAAGTACCCCCACACACCCGCGTCTTCGTGCGCTAGCCCTCCGCGGGCTAGCCAGACCGCCTATCCAGTGCACTTTCCCGGAAGTTCCCGTACTCGTCCCAGTCCGACCCCCTCAAAATGAGCCCTCTCCGGCTTATAAGGTTTGCTAGCCCTCATGGCACCCGCTTCGTTGGCTCCCTTCTTCTGCCCCCACCAGTCATTTAGTCGGCCGGTCTCGAGGACCTTGCAGTGCGTCGGTACCAGGCCAAAGTCCGGGCCTGGTCCCAAGCCTGGTTTGGGCCTCGAACAGTCACGAGGTCCAAAGGCCCGGTTCCCTAGGTAAGGCCTCAGTGACCCCCTTTTCCCTTTTCTCCCGTTCGACCTCCATTGTTCTCCCTAGGGCCCGGTACCACAATTTGGGATCGGCCCCCGCCCCAAAATGTGTCCCCTTTCTTTAGTTGCTTTTCCCTTTTCCGCTGGTTTCCGTCGTCGGTCTCGTCTCCTATTTCACCCGTATCGACGGAACGCTTGGCGCGAGCCCATAAGATGTCGCCCTCCGGTAGCCATATTCCAACGGTCGTGGCGATTTCAGCCACCCTATCGGCACGTCGCTGTCTCGCATTAAAATTCCCTATTTTCAATTATATTAATAATTCATCCGTCAACCGTCGATTCCAGGAAAAACCCACTTACGTCGGTTCACATTCTGCCACAGTCTAGTCTGGGCCTGGTTTTCCCATATCGTCCACCCGCCATTCAACAGTCGTCTCCGTAGGCTCGGATTGCAAGACAAAAACACACCGGAAAAGACCGCCTTGCGAAATCCGACTTTCGGCGGTAGTCTTTTTGAAGGAAGTAAAGGGCGCCGTAAGGCTTGCGCCGTCCGACACCGTCCGAAAACGACCAACTAACCGGTGGGACCTAAGGGTGTCGAAAACCAACCCCGTCAAAGGAAGGGATATGGGGGATGAAACTTGACAGACCATATATCCTAGGCATAGGTAGGTGGGCTGCAAAATCCTCAGGCCATCTGAGTCCATTTTCCCACAAAATCGGAAAATGGACTTCGACGAACTGTTCGCTTAGAGCCTCGAGCGACGCCCGAAAAAGGCAAGTAGGGGCAAACAGCGACGGCATGAGGCCCAATTTGGAAGGGTCATCTGTAGGGTATATATACAGAGGGTCTGTGAAGTTACAGGCCTATCTGATGTCGTTTAGGTTAGGAAACACAAATCTAAGTTTTTCAACTCCCCCAACCCTATTAAAATCAAAAACGGAAATCTGAGAAATCTGAGTGTTTCAGTGATCTGAGTTTTTTTTGCAAGTCTGAGTTTTAGCGAAGTCCGAGTCTCTGCTGCAAATCTGAATCTCGCAAGTCTAAGTTTTCTAAAGGTTTAAAGGTTGGGACGACACGGAAAGGACGAGACCAAAGACTTAGAAAACACCTTCACACCTTCTTCCTCCTCCACCTCCTTCACCCATCCACCATAGCCAATCACCTTCATACCTTCTTCTTCCTCCACCTTCATCACCCATCCTCCCGTAGCCAATCACCTTAACACCATCTTCCTCCCCCATCTCCCTCACCCATCCTCCATAGCCAACCACCTCCGCACCTTCTTCCTCCTCCACCTCCTTCACCCATCTGCCATAACCAACCGTTGAACCACATCACACCTTCTTCCTCCTCCACCTCCATCACCCATCCGCCATAGCCATCCACCTTCGCACCTTCTTCTTTCTCCACCTCCATCACCCATCCACCATAACCAACCACCTCACATTATCTTCTTCCTCCACCTCCATCACGCATCCACCATAGCC